ATTTTATTATTCTTTCCTTTTTGTCTTAGTGTTTAAAATATTTATTTTGAAACAAATTAATTAATTAATGAATTAAACAAGCAGACTTACTGGATGAGCAGCGTAGGCTATGACAGTTGTCATATCATACCCTGCCATGCCCAGCTGATGCAAAGAATAGAATTTATATCTACACAGAAGAAAGCCCTGTCTAGACTCTGCCCCAGTATGAGTTGTGTCGAGCTATTCATTAGTCTGTTTGTTTGATGAAAAAAGATTAAATGTAGTTGCAATAAATGCGTTAAGAATCCATACAACTGCAGCAGCAGAGGACTATTATTCTGCTGCGTGATACTGCGGAAGAACTGATGAAGGCACGGTTTGATCTTCGGCTGACCAATCAGCAGAAAGGGGCGTTTAATTCCCACCCACATGTAGAAATCGAATATTCAAGCTGTTTATTCATTTTTCCACCCATGAACGAAAAACGAAAATTTAAGCTGAATTCTCGTTTTTTCCTTTTTTGGAAAAAAAACAAAAAAAAACAAAAAAGGAGCCATTTTCTCATTTTTCTACTTTGAATATTAAATAAAAAAACGAATGATCGAATGATACACGGATTCATCAGGTCAGCCAAAGACAATTTTGAATGTTACAGCTGCAGTGAGTAGATTAGATTTAATACCTTTTGGGATGCAGTGTTCTAATGAACACACTTTTTAATTTTAAAAGTAATATATATTTATAAGTATGAACAAAAATGAAAACAGTGGCATTTAGCTTTAATTATGTCTCACTGATTACGAGCAAAGAAATAAATAAGCAATAAGTGCAAGGCCTATTGCTCAGAGCTGATCATTTTAACAAAAAAAAAATAAGTTTTTGTTTATTTTAACATAAAACAAAGTGACTGTTTACATTAATACCTGCCAGAAATGGGTGATTCATGTACACAGGTACATTACCACACTTTGTTCAGGTACACTAGCATTCAAAACTACGATTTTAAAATGTTTTTGAAAGAGTCTCTTATATTCACTAAGGCCGCATGTATTTGATAACAATAGAGTAAAAAACAGTAATATTGTGAATTATTATTATAATTTAAAGAATATATTTTCAAATGTAATTTATTCCTGTAATGGCGAAGCTGAGTTTTCAGCATCATTACTCCAGACTTCAGTGTCACATGATCCTTCAGAAGTCATTCGGATATGCTGATTTGGTGCTCAAGAAATTATTTTTAATATTAATGTTGAAAACAGTTCTTCTGAATAACATTTTGTGAAAACCATTTTTTTAAGAATCTTTGTTGAATAATACTTTTGTTGAAAGTAAAAAAATCAAAAAATCTTTTTGAACATTATAAATGTCTCTACAGTCACTTATGATCAATTAAATGCATCTTCGCTCAGTAAATGTATTATTTTCTTTAAAAAACCCCAAACTTGGTAATACTGGGTAGTATCAGTATTACCAGTGAGTGGTATGGTTATGGTATGGAATTTATTTGTTTGTTTGTTTGATTTATTTATTAGTTTTATTTTTATTTTTTTAAATATCCCTGTCAGATATGGTTTTTAGACACTCTTCTGGGGGATGAAGTTCTCACTTTTTTGTTGTGCATTTTGTAGTCCCTCATGCTCAAGCTCCTCTATACTACTAGGCACTCAGCTGTATGGTCTGTCAACAGCGGTACTTTAACTGAATGATGAAATGCGTATGTTTGTGTTGTTCCCTGAGGTTTTATTGATGCATGGATTTTGTGGGCTTTCATGTAAGATGGATCATTCTAGTCGCCTTGTTACAGATCAGTGAAGCCCAGTGTAAATTGTTCTGAGTTCGTGTGTCTGTGTGTGTGTGTGTGTGTGTGTGTTAGAGGAGAATAGGGTAGATAGAGAGTGGGCATAGAGCCAGCAGGAGTGGTGAGGCTGACACTTTATGCAGTCTGCACAGAGCTGCTTCATTTACCCCCACCCCATCACAGCTTACTGCATGCCGTCAGCCCCCGTCAGAAAGACAGAACCGCTCCAGTCTCACCCCTGACACTAACACACACGTTCCCAGCTGTCAAACACACACAGGACAGGTTCAAATGCTTGGTCATCATCACTGGCATGTTGAATATTCAAGAAGAAAAGAGATTGTTTGAATTGTTGTTTTCAACCCACCAGTGCATCTAGTCATCTTATGGATGGACTTTTTCAAGGTGAATTTCTGAGTTTAGTGCCAAACCCCCAGCAGCCAGCTTAGGTTTCATGTAAGGCTGGATTTTAGCCAGTGAAGAGACTAGACCAATTTACTGCAGTGCTCTAGAATTGATTTCTCTGTAGCACAAATTGATCTGGTAGAGGACAAAAACTTTACTGCATCAGGCATTATCACTAGTATCTTTTCAGGCTGGATGCCTAAACAAGACTTTGTTTGGGCATCTTTTACACATTGAGGCCTGCAGTTCTGCTGCTTTTAGTGGTGCCAGCTAAGGCTGTTTTCTTTTTAATGCCAGGGACCCATCAGATTAAATGAAGTAGTTTTTATTGTAATGTAAGAAGCTTGTGTCTGCCACTTTTATACTTTTATTTTAAACTACACTGATGAAAAAAAGCCTTTGGTGGAGATAAAGCAGTAAAATAAATAAATAAATTGCAAGGACCCCAAATATGATGATCCTTGGAATGAACTCTGTTATTTATTTATTTTTTTATTTTTTAAGAAATGAATGCTTTTGTTCAGCAAGGACACATTAAATTGATGAAAAAATGACAGTAAAGACTTTTACATAGTTACAAAAGATTTATATTTCAAATTAAGCCTGTTCTTTTGAATTTTCTATACAATAAAGAATAATGGGGGGAAAAAACTTATCATGGTTTACACAAAAATGTTAAGCAGCACAAATGTTTCTTCAACAAATCAGCAGATTAACATGATTTCTGAAGGATCATGTGACATTGAAGACTCGAGTAATGACTGAAGAAAATTCAGTTTTGCCATCACAGGAATAAACTAAAACTAATTAAATAGAAAGCAGTGGTTTTAAATCATAACACTGTTTCACAATATTACTGTTTTTTTGTTTTTTTTTGGGATCAAATAAATGCAGCCTTAGTGAGCATAAGAGACTAATTTCAAAACCATTCAAAATCTTAACTTTTGAACATTTGTAACAATGATAACAGTGTATGTTTTTTCCCAATATTAGAATATAAAATAATCATTTCCATTTGGATTACGATTGCTTTGCATAGCCCTTTTAATAATACATTATAATAAATTGTAATAATAAATATAATAAATTGTTTCAAAGCAGCATTACAGGAAATGGTGCCTAGTATAACTGGTGATTAGACCTGTTCCTTACTATAAAAGCTCTATATTCTCTCATACCCTCACAGGTCCAGAGTTTTCTTCAGCAGTTTCAGACTGATGCTGACTCTGAGGAGGTGACCCCGGCTTCCATGCCTGAAGCCCTTACTGTGCCATGTGAGAGAGCAGAAGATGGAAGTCTACCTACACGACAGGAAGCAGAGTGTGAGAAGACTCCTCAGCAGCAACATCAGCAGAACATTCAGCCAGAGCCAGAAGAAAGACAGAACAGCGATTCAGATCCCCGAGGAGAGCTGCAGCCCTTGGACGTCCCTGACTTCTTACTCCCTGAGGGAGGTCAGCATTTAGTGCCCTGCTTTTACATGATACAAATGAGATAATCACAGTCTGCGCTCCTGTAACATACAAGCCAACCATTAACACAGTTAGGCTTCTCATTTACCGTTCAAGGCAATTTGACGTAATCATCCTGTTGACTTCCCCAGCAGAGAGCGTGCAGGCCTTAAAAAAGAACAAGAGAAGGAACAGGAAAAGGAGAAAGGATGTGGAGATGCCACCTGAGATTGCAGCAGAACCTGAGCTGGCCAAGTACTGGGCACAGCGCTACCGTCTGTTTTCCAGGTTCGATGAGGGCATCAAACTTGACCATGGTGAGTCAGCACAAAGCCACCATCTTTATTTTAGGCAATTCATTGCTTTTATTCAATTAGCAGATGCTTTTATCCAAAGCAACTTCATTGCTGCAGCACCAGGGACATTAACAGTGGAATATTACAAAGATAGCCAACCTATTGAACTAGAAATGAATTATTCTTCATAGATCTGGCTGATAAAGCTGTGTATGTCAACATTTTCTTTTGATGTCTTTTGATGTTTTATAAACCATAATTTCAAACAAAGCCATTGTAGCAGATTACAATTTTAGAACTAAAACACAGTAAAAGTAGATGAAGTAGTCAAGTTTTCCACTAAAAGAATATTTAAACAATTTAATTGCACCAATACAACAATGCAAATATACAGCATAGAAATAAAAAACATAGAAATTAACATTTAAATGGAAAAAAATGTGCCCTGAAATGCTTTGGTGAGATTTCATTACACCAAATACACAAAATAATGTTATTTTTAGCAGCATCATATGACCCCTTTAATGATGGCACAAATGAATTGTTGAGTTATGAATAGATTAATTGAAATGAGCCGTTTGAATTGATTAGCAGGAAACCCCCCAATACTGATGTTTAAATCTTAACGCTCTCATACTAAAACCATGAGAATAGCAGGCATCACAAATGAATGGCATTATTTAGAAAATAGAAATTGTCAAATAAAAAACACATGAAGTCATTGTCACAGTGTTTATTTTATATTGACAAAGAAAATTGCAAATATGTTGCCCAGCCCTAATTCTTCTCAGATTTACACCGATAATGTGATGAGTGAAGCAGGACATTTAACAAAATAGGTAGAGCAGGATTTGACTTGGGAATTGATAGGATGGTGAAACAGACCAAATAGCTATTTGGCTGTACATAAACCAACAGCCTGCAGAACCTCTGTAAGTGACCTCACTGGAAAAGGAAAGTCATTTCAGAGGACGAGCAGTTTTGTTAAAGATGAATAAATATTTATTGTTTGTGGAATAACATGCACTAAAGAATCATTCACAGTAAAACCAGTGACTTTAAATAACAGATAGAGGGACACTCTGAGAACTGAGGGACAGAGTGAGATGTATTTGTGAGGATGTAGCAGCTTAAGGTGTTGGCCGTCTGACTGCGCTGGCTCTGTCTGCAGTGTGTGTGCTGACGCTAGATACCTCCTGCGTCAGACCAGAGAAAAAGGGAGGGAGAAAGCGAGAGGGAGCAAGTGAGAGCAAAGCAGCAGGCAGCTTTTAGAGCGCTTAGGAGAGCACTTTTTTCTTTCCCCACGCTACACTTTGCACAAATAGAGTGCTCAGCCTTGGAGGAGGACAACCTTTAGCTCTGGTGCTTTACCTGTGTTCTCCGCTCCACTGCCGCCTGCAAAGTGGGTCACTCTCTTAACGGACACAGTGTATTAAACGGAACATAAACCTGCTTGTTTATCGCTTTTCGCTTGTCAAATGTTTTCTGGTAAAAGGAATTGTATTTCTGCATATTCTTTTATACTCGTCCTTTTACCATTTTTACCATTTGCTCTTTTTACAATTAATTTTTTGTTGTTTTTATTGAAGAAAGAACAAGAGATGGTGGGGTAAAGGAAATGTGACCAGACGAATTTGAGTACCAAGACTCAATGTGACGAAGCACATGCATTATTATAAAAAAGTAGCAATGCATAAGAAATGAAGACTTGTTTTCATAGATTGTAACTTATGTGTCATTTCCCCCCCCCCCCTTTTTTAGAACTTGATACTTACTTAATATAAATAGAAAAGATCTTCCAGTATAGTAAAACAAAACACACTTATGAATTAATAAATGAATCTTGTATTGAAGATATATTCTCTGAAGATACATTTTCTAAAAGTCTTAATATATTGTGCAGGGTTGCTTCTCATGAACAGCCATCTTATTTTAAGGATTTTTCACATTTTAACTGGGCATTAGACAAAAAAAAATCATTAAGAATATGATTTTTTTTTGTGTGTGTGTGTGTGTGTGTGTGTGTGTAGTGTAGCTTTTGCAAATTCATTTTTTTATTTTGGAGGTGACTTTTGCTAAAGTACCACTTACATTTTCTCCAGAAAATGTAGAATGTAGTTTTTATGATAAAGATTTTCTTCCTGTGAAGTAAGTCACTTTCCTTGTTAAATTTTATTGCACAATAACTATAGTATTGGGTTAGGTTTAAATTTTTAATAGGGCTGATCTTTGGAAAGATGCCTTTTAATCAGCACCAAATGTCAAACGGTTTGCCTTCTGGTACCATGAAAGATCCCATTATTTGGGATTCGAAAATCTCTCCTCATGGACGTTGGATTTCTCTTTGAATTCTCCAAAGTACCATGACTAATGTGTTTTTATACGTCTCTCTCACTTTCGAATCATTACTCTTTCACTAAGCATCTGGAATTCTGTTTGAAAGTGAGATCAGAGCTTCGTATCTATTCACTTATTCATGTCAACAGAGGCAGTAGCCCATAGCCATAGTGAGCCTCTTTTCCTTCAGCACTGCCTGATTGGACAGAGGAGAGCGAGGGGTAGATCAAGAGCGTGGGCTGAATTGTGTATCTCCTGCACCCCCACCCCAGAGAGGAGGGGCGGGTTACCTCAGGGCTACAGAGATGCAAACCCGCTCTTTTTTTTTTTTACTACTGCGATACCCACTGAGAGGAGCTAAACAACAAACACAGCTATGACGTCAACATTATGCCAGTCAAGAGGCAGACTTTTAAATGGAATGAGGAAATTCTGAGTGATTTTTATCAGCATATGACCCCACTAATGACCACTTTAGAGGCTGGAGAAATGAAATATTCCAAGTCAACATGAAATGGCATTCACAAGCCATTTTACTTCTGTAATGTGACATGTCTTTGTAGAACAGGATGTTGAGCTAGGAAGAAAAAAAAGGTTATCCATTTGTTAACATTAACCAGTAGTCTGGAGCCAAAAAAACAACAACTTTTCAGAGACAGAGCAGGGTATTCGCTGTTTTTTTTTCTTTTCTGCATAATAACTTGTTCTAGTGAATTATGCGTAATATAACCAGGAATGTGACTTAAAGTAAATGGAGTAGTTTCCGTTTTCTGAGTCTCACAGGAATCCATCTAGCCACAGTTGCCTTTTAATCTTTTAGTACTTAACATAGTTTTTAATTTGAATGGGGGAAAAAAGTCCATTCAAAAGTGTATTGTTACTTACTTTTAGATGACAAAAAGTCAAACTGTAATGTACACACACAGTTCCTATAGAAAACTACGTTTGTTTTAAACCAGTTTAACTGTAACTTGGAATTAGATATATTCTAGTACACCCCCAAAACAAAATCAAGACTTTGTAAAAGAGCACAATAGGACCCCTTTAAATTCTACTTATTAATTGTTTTATTCCATAATACAGCAGAGTAAACGCAATACAATTCAGTTCAAAGTAAATATGTCAAAGATCAAAGTGAATTAAGTGGTTAAATGAATAAAGCATACTTAATAATGTATATAAAATCAATTTAATAATTTACATCAAAACAGTTCTTACAAATTTTAATGTCAGTAGTGTTAACAATATAAAAACAAAAAGCAACATTTTAAATGTTTGCTTCTGAAATGTCATTTTCAGTTGTTTTTTGGAATATATATATATTTTGATAATTAAATGATATTAAGATCAATGTTATAGTATTACCTCTGTCCTGAAACCAGATTTAACCATGACATTTGTCAGTGGTGTGCTGGATAAATAATTCTTCAGTTATTTATTGTGACCTTGAATTATATGTGAAAGGAGATACTTTAATCAATATAGCATGGTAGGTTTAATGTGGGACGTTTCAGTTTTAAAATGTTTTCAGATGGAAATGTCACTGCACTTATAGAATGACACTAGTAGTAATGTTATTTGTTAATAGTGTTGACAATGTTTTTCTGTAAGATTTGGTCTTTTTTTGTGAGCTTGATATGCAAATTTAAGGTACCGCTTACTGGATATGTGCTTAGAAAAGCACGTTCTCTTTACTCGGGTGCACCTGTACTTGACGGGCTCTTGATATCTGGACCTCACACTGTAAACAGGAAGTGCTGAACGTGGTTGCTCCAGACCAGTGATTGTTACTTAAGCAGGTGTTCTATTCTCAGCGGGGGGAGAAAAATACGAGAGGCGGAAAAATAGAGATGCGTTTGTAGAGGCTAAAAGCAGATGGTGTTGGTCTCCACAGAATCAAAGGAGGACATGCTCCGTTAAACTCCACTCTCTCTGTGCTCTCTGACTGCTTCTGCCTCAGCTCTCTCTCACAGACACATGCAACACCTTAAAAAGATGAAGATCCAGAGAATGAGATCCAGTAGTCTGACACCATGTTTTAAAGTGTCACAGCTTTCAGGGAGTCTGCTTTAAGGTCATCATATCTTGAACACATTTTATGATTTTGTACAGCTTCTCTAAATATATGGTTTTCTGGCATCACATGATGTTGGGGTGATTGCTGATATTTTGAATTAACAAAATAAAAAAGATCAACCTTTTGGCAACAGAGGCTCCTCCTAATATGAAGCAAAGCTAGAGAGAGAGTCTTTGATGTAAGCAGAGCCATACTTCAGCTCTTCAAATAGAAAATGAAAACTGCAGACTCCCTCTGGTGGACAAAGTGTCAAACCTTTACCACATTTGTAATAAAAAAAAAAGGTGCATTTAAGGTTTAACTATAATTAATTTGAATAGTATTCTGCTAAGCTTAATATTTAGTTTGAGAAGGAAAAAATGCATGAACTGATAAAAGCCTTTTGCTTCTAATTTGAACTATGATGTGCATACCCTGTAACTCTGTTCTGTCCACAGAGGGCTGGTTCTCAGTGACTCCCGAGAGGATAGCAGAGCACATCGCTCTGAGAGTGCAGGACAGCTTCAGCACAGAGCTCATTATCGATGCCTTCTGTGGTGTGGGTGGCAATGCCATTCAGTTTGCCCTCACTGGGAAAAGAGGTACAGTTGCATTTCATACTGCCATCTCAACACAATCCTACCATGCTAACACCAATATATTATTTATTTTTTTCTTTTTTGTTTGCTTGTTTGTTTTTGAGGTTGATATTTACCATAAAACCAAACATATCCATGCTGCTATGTTCAAAAAATATGGCACTAATTGTTTTCCGTTTTATTAATTTATTCATACATTATATATTCATACATTATACATAAAAATATGTTAAAAATGCAAACCACAAATAGAATGTTTTTCATTTCTGAATTAAAATATGTTTAGATATTTTTGGATTGTTTTTTGTTATTCATAATATTTATGAATATTCAAAATTAATGCTGTCAAATCAATTAATCGCATCCAAAACAAAAGTTTGTGTTTACATAATATGTGTGTGTACTGTGTATATTTCTTTATGTATATATACACACACATACAGTATATATTTTGAAAATATTTACATGTATATACATTTATATATTTACATTATTATATTTTTTTATATATATATATATATAAACATAACATATTTTTCTTAAATATACACGTGTGTGTATTTATATATACATAATAAATATACACAGTACACACACCTATTATGTAAACACAAACTTTTATTTTGGATGCATATTAATTGTGAATAATCGATTTGACAGCACTATTCCAAATACATTAATCTTTTTGAAAAGTCTCTTATGCTTACCAAGGCTGCATTTATTTAAATAAAAATGCAGTAAAAAGTGATATAATGAAATATTGTTACAATATAAAATAAATGTTTTCTATTTTGATATGCAATTTATTCCTTTGATAGAAAAGCTGAATTTTCAGCAGCCATTCCAGTCTTCAGTGTCACATGATCCTTCAGAAATCATTCTAATGTGCTGATTTGCTTCTCAAGAAACATTTCTTTTTATTTTCAATGTTGAAAACAGTTACGCTGCTTAATATATATATATATTTTTTTTTATAAAACGTTTATTTTTTCAGGATAATTTGACGAATAAAGTTGAAAGCATTTATTTAAAATATATATTTTTTGTAACACTATAAATGTCTTTACTGTCACTTTTGATCAATTTAATGGGTCCTTGCTCAATAAAAGAAAATTATTAAAAAAAATTATAAAAATGTATTATAAAAAAAAAATCTTACTGACCCCAAATGTTTGAACAGTAGTGTATATTTCCTCACATGTATTCATGGTGTAAAGTATGTTAGTACTTGATGGTTTAACCATATGAAAATCTTAACAATAAATGAAAACTTTTCTTGAAAATTGTATTAAAAAATGTTCAAAACAACATGAATACAAAAAGTACAATACTAAACTTGACAAAATTTGTTTTAAACTAGGTTTTTATTCTTTTTTTCTTTATAGCGGTTTGTCTTTGACCCTTTTGTAAGGGTTGTTTTTCTCCTATATTTTGAAGTTGTTTTTCTCCTCCTGACATCCAGTGATCGCCATCGATATCGACCCCGCACGCCTGGCTCTGGCACAGCACAATGCAGAAGTGTATGGGGTGGCGCACCAGATAGAGTTTGTGCAGGGAGACTTCCTGCAGTTGGCTCCGCGCCTGCGAGGAGACATGGTTTTCCTCAGTCCCCCGTGGGGAGGACCAGAGTACCTCAGTGCTGACGTCTTCAACATCAAGACCATGATGACTCCTGATGGATATCCTTTCAGTCTTACACTCTGTACTTTTTTTTTCTAGGCAGTGCCTCTTTAGAATTTAGAAATAGATGTTTCAGATTTGTCCTTTTTCACATCACCCTTCTTTGTGGAAGTAATGATATACTTTCTAATGTATGTGGTTAAGGTGCTTCAAACGGCCTATTCCAACTTCCTTAACTATCGATACATTTGAAATTTTCAGGTTGTCAAAAATGATTTCGGACAATATTGTCTATTTTCTTCCTCGAAATGCAGACATGGAACAGGTAACAATTTAGTTTATTTACATAAATCATTTATTTATCGTTTTATTTTTTAAACTATTTTTATAATCATTTTTTTTTAATTTAGCATTTTTTGTCCTTTTTTTTCTTTCATTTTTTAAAATGGTAATCTAAAGACCTCATAAACACAATTGTGACCCTGGACCCCAAAACCAGTCATAAGGGTACATTTTTTCGAAATTGAGATTTATACATCGTCTGAAAGCTGAATAAACAAGCTTTTTGTTATGATAGGACAGTATTTGGCCGAGATACAAAAATCCGAGGGTGCAAAAAAAAAATGAATATTGAGAAAATCGCCTTTAAAGTTGTCCAAATGAAGTCCTTAGCAATGCATATTACTAATGATAATACATTTTTGATATATTTACAGTAAGAAATTTACAAGATATCTTCATGGAACATGATCTTTACATAATATCCTAATGATTTTTGGCATAAAATAAAAATTGATCATTTTGACTCATACAATGTATTTTTGGTTATTGCTACAAATATACTTGTGCGACTTATTACTGGTTTTGTGGTCCAGGGTCACAATTTTCTTTTATGCATTTATGTATTGATGTTAAAAGTTTTTTACTTACACTACATTAGCATATAGATGACCTCACTGTTAACACGCATGACCGGAAAGCCATCAAACTCTAATTTTAATTAGAATTGTGCCCTGTATCTGTTATCGCAGATAGAAAATTAGCTTTCTTAAACAGAAGGTGTAAGCATGTTCAGGACAATCTATCAGCCAGTGGTTTAGTGGTCTCAATGACCATGAAGTCATCTGATTGGTCCCATGGTTCATCCCTTTTAGCATTTTAATATTAGTACACATGGCTGCTGTACTTACATTCTTAGGTATATATCTAGTTCCGGATATCAATTATTGTTTCATATCTGTCAGGCAACACAAGATAAACTTAGTGCCAAAGTCCATTCACTGAAATCTTATTCAATCAGAAAGGGAGTTATTTTCACAGAATGTGTTTGTTGACTATGTACACCTAGGTTTAGTTTAGTGCATCTGATGTCTGTCAATTGCAGCTGTTTAATGGTTTTTGATTTCTCTGAAAGGTCTTGTTGGCTGGTGCAGTGTGGTTGCACCTTTTGAAACCACACTAACTTCCGGAATATTTTCTGTTTGACTGTAGCAAATTTCTTCACTAATATCTAAAGTAAATTCATCATTACCTTTTGCCCATACTGTTTGTGTTGTTGAATTCTATTAGCGTGACTTTATTGTGATTGAATTCAACAACAGTTTTCCCTAAACCAAGTTACTAGGTTTATATTTTACTGACATGTTGATATTGGCAACTAATGACCACGTTGCCCGTGATGGTATCTCACACCTGCTCTGTCTCTTTTCTTCTTCCTCTTTCTCTTCATACTGCTCCCTCTTTCTGTCTTTCTCTCTGTGTAGATCGCATCTCTCACCGGCCCAGGTGGGAAGGTGGAATTGGAGCAGAACTTTCTGAACAACAAACTGAAAACAATTACTGCATACTTTGGCAACTTAATTAAGTCAGAAACATAAAACTTTGTTCACATTATCTGCAGTTTACTGTTTTCTTAAGCCATTGATGATACATTTTACATAAAAATGTACATTATATGTGTACTTGTGATGCTGCTAGTTTAATGTTTATTTTAACTTAGATCTATGTTTTTCCAGCATGTATATTTACTTATTAAAGTTCATTTGAAGAAACAATGGAAGTTTTAAAATTCTATCTATCTATCTATCTATCTATCTATCTATCTAACAATTGGATCAAATTTGTTGTTGTATCAAAATTAATTAAAATAATAATTTCATGTTATTATTTTGTTATTTAGAAATACACTAATTGTTCTATCTATCTATCTATCTATCTATCTATCTGTCTGTCTGTCTGTCTGTCTGTCTGTCGTGATAGTATTATGCAAGTTTTGTCTGTGTATCTGTCTGTCTATCTATCTGCCTGTAGGTCTATAGTGTTGTTATAGTGTAAATGTTTTAATATTGATTACTCGTTTACAGGGCCGTGCACAGGGGGGTGGCCCTGTGGCTAGAGCCACTGCCCCTTTGCCCTCATCGGCTGAGTTGCCCCTCTCACCAATCCCCCCCATCACCACAGCTCAAAGCTGTCTGTTACCGCTCTGCTAAAGATCCGCTGATTCCGCTAATCCACTCTGTGTTTCCAGCCCGCTCCGCAGCATCACTCACAATCTGTGTGCCGCTCTCTGGAGAGTGGAGACCACAGTCCCCGAAGGTAGTTGCATTACCAGGTAGATGCATTACAATCCACATTAGTCAGTGGTTGATCCACTGAATTAGTAATTAGTTGGCAGTTTGTTTGTTTTTAATTTTGTCGGTAATGACTTGGCCTTCTAAAAGCGCTAACAACTTGTACAAAATATCCATGTTCTTAGAATTAGAATGTCTAATCAAATTATTGTACCCGATCAGATCTAATATGGATAACACCAAATTTGCTGTTGTTGGCACACTTTGTAGACAAAAAAAAAAGCAAGAAAGAAATGCCTTCACAAAAAAAGAAGACAAAGAGAGAAAAAGCGAAGGGAGGCTGCTAAAGGCAGTTCAACATTGCAAAAATGAGTTCAAAGCTCCAGCAAGCTAGCGAGTAAATCATCATTTAGAATATTTAGCAGTTTGTCACACTTTAATTCTTGTAATTAAGTACATTTCCCATTATAATTACTTGTCTTGATACTAGTAATCTATAACACATCATATTTTATTAAAACCAAATGAATAGTAGGCCTATAAATAGTTTAAAAAATAGTATACATTTTCTAAATTAGTTGTTTATTAGTATATAATATAGATTTATGCTGTAAAATATTAAACGAAATGTCTAATACTTATAGGGGAGAGTGGGGTAAGATTAGCCACTTTTTTACTTGTGTGGTCCTCAAGATAAGGGAAAATGAAAGTCAAAGAAGGATTTGGTGCACTTGCACACTGTCCCTATCAAATAAACTGCAAATAATATGATAAACTAAACCAGTAATATATCACATTAAAATACCATTTTATAATTCAGAGATTTAACTTAACTACAGTGCCTTATGATGGAGTAAGTTAAAATGCTGACTCAATTTACCCCACAGCATTCGGTTTACAATTTGGCTCACTTTGCCCCATAGCTGCCATTTTGGGGAAAAAAATAGCTACTGTAGCTTACCAGTTCAGGCTAATATTTAGCTAAATGATTATGGTTTTATATGTTGCTAAATCACCTATATGTATCATAAATATTTCTAGACCTGGATAAATTTGCTTTGATGTAACAACCATTACATCTGTTATGCTAAAAGTTTACTTTGACAAGCCAAAAACAGTTTTTAAAGTAAATGGGTGCCTTCCATTCCCCCCATGTGTTTCTCCTTATCACAGTCTGGCAGAAATGAATGGTGGTTCCAAAATACATCGTCACATGACAGTTGTACAGATGTACAGTTGCCAAGAAACGAGGTGGGTCAACTTACCCCACTCTCCCCTACTTCCATTGAAGATGAGGCAGAAGCAGGCTCAGAGAGTGAGGGACTGGATATTTTGTATTAACAAGCACCCACCCTCCTTGTGCCCTTTTTTAGTTTGGGCCACTGCCCCTCAAAATGTCTGTGCACGGCCCTGCTCGTTTATATACATGTATTTCTAGTCATTCATCAGGTTTTACAAACGTCTATTCAATTTGTCGCAACCGTCAATGTAGCCCAATGAATGCTTATGTTCCTGCCACCACATCATGTGAGATTACGGATATAGCCTACTTTTTTTCCCCCCAAGAGTTGACACTTGGCAAACGTAATGGCACTGCAGCTTTATGAGAACAAATAAAACTGAACTCTGATCAACATGGTAAATACTGTACCAGGAAGTTGAAAGAGCAGTGAAAACAGCAGAGTCCAGTCTTGGGTTCCTCATTCTGTGTTTGCATGTGTCGCTTCAATGAGAGTAACAGCGCGCGCTCTCGACGCTCATTTACTCAGAAACTTTTCGTTTAAGTGAGAGCTACCCACTTTTTCTGACATTTGACAGGTAGGTCAGCTACCTTTCTTATATGTTTTACTCTGGTAAATTATTTCTTGCGGTCTGTTGTGCTGGTGTTACAGTAAATAGCCTATGTGTAATTTAACGTTTCACCTGCGTATGTATCAGTATCAACAAAGTTTTACCCCGTAACGTTACACGTTGTCTTTCTTCCTTATTGTAGACATGTTTAAATTTCGATTCAACCCTATGTAAATGTGTTTTGATGGAAACGTCCAGCTACCAAAATAGAAAAAGCCAGTGGACACCGGTTAGCCTAATAATTTTCCTGAAGTAATACACTGGCTGTAAAATCTGAATAATTATTTACTCAAGAATTTTATATAATCCCATAGGAAAGAGAAATCATCTCCTTAACGTCTCGATCGTTTCTCCTCCATCGCAAAGAGATGAAACTGAATTCAAATGTATTTTGCTTAAGTCTCCTGCTTCTTGGATTCGTCTCTTTAAACAAACAAAAAAAAAAAAAAAGACTAATAATTTCATATGTCTCCTATAGAGTTTCAGACGGGATCTAAAAAATGTCTCAAACTGGGCTAGATTTTCTAAAATACCAGCGTGTTAGAGATTTGAATATGAAATATGGACTTTTCTCAGTCTAAGATCAAGATATCTCTCATTTGAATCTATTTGTTTCAAATGAGGAATGTTAGGAAAAACATCAGAGATAAAGTTGATAGTAAAATGAAACATAATTGAGAAATGTATGTTACCATCAAACAACTGTTAAAGGGGTCATATGATGTTGCTAAAAAGAACATTATTTTGTGTATTTGGTGTAATGAAATGTGTTTATGCGGTTTAAGGTTCAAAATCACATTATTTTCCACATACTGTACATTATTGTTTCTGCTCTATGCCCCGCCTTTCTGAAACGCGTCGATTTTTACAAAGCTCATCGGTCTGAAAAGCGAGGTGTGCTGTGATTGGCCAGCTATCCAGTGCGTTATGATTGGCCGAATACCTCAAGCATGTGACGGAAATGTTATGCCCCTCCATACTGTGATGATTCAAAAACATGAAAACACATTATAAACGAGGCATTCGTCTGTTGATGCCGTGTCCGGCAGGAGCGACGAGACATAAACATTAAAACCCATTATAAACTAGGCATTTGTTGCATCCAGTGGGGACATAATTATGGATTATAATGACTTATACTGTCTTTTTACGCGTTGCGTTGCGTTGCGCATCGCGCCGCGTAAACATAAAACCATGTCTGCATTTGTGATCGGAGAAATGACAAACTACAAGCCCTACTATACACTGCCCAAAAACTCGCTTTTAATATAAAAAAATATAAAATATAACAACTCTTTAAATATAAAAAACGTACTTACAGT